GGTGTGTGTGTGGGGGGGGGGGGCAGGACTTGAACCCGGAACTATTCTGGGCATCAGCAAAAATTATACAAACCTGCCACCCCTGGGTGGGCCATGCGTTGGTGTAATCTGCTTTCCAAGACAAAGAGCCCGGGGCCTTGTCTCTCAGGCCCCAGGTCCCAGCCGCTGCCCTGGGCAGACAGCTAGCACTAGAACTGTGGGCGCAGAGCGTTTCTTTAGGTACAAGGGATCTCACCCCTATATTCCCCCACCCCCATTGATCTCCATTCACAGGCTCAATGTGGCACAGGCAGGCTGCCCAGGATAGACCGACCTGCTGTTCCCTGTTGTCTGATGAAGCCATCTGCAGTCCAGTGTCGGAGGAAGCTGCCTTCAGTCCATTTTCACCGGCTGGCAACGTGACATCCGGACTTGCTGATGGGATGGAATGGGGAAGATAAGGTAGGTCAGGGGAAAAAGTTGCCCCGACTAGCTAGAAAGCAGAACAGCGTCATGTTGCGCTAGGGGCTGTACATCCACAGTGAGAGACAGTCCCTGCCCCCAGAGGGTTTACGGTCTAAAGAGACCGGACAGGTGAAGGAGGGGGAGAAAGCAGGAGTATCATCATCCCCACTTTACAGATGAGCAAAGTGAGGCAGGCAGAGAATTAACGACTTGCCCAAGGTTGGGCACCGTCTGTGGCGGAGGCAGGAATAGAACCCAGGTCTCTTGAAAAAGCAACAGAGGGTCCTGTGGCACCTTTAAGACTAACAGAAGTATTGGGAACATAAGCTTTCATGGATAAGAACCTCACTTCTTCAGATGCAAGAAGTGAGGTTCTTACCCACGAAAGCCTATGCTCCCAATACTTCTGTTAGTCTTAAAGGTGCCACAGGACTCTCTGTTGCTTTTTCAGATTCAGACTAACACGGCTACCCCTCTGATACAGGTCTCTTGAGTCACACTTAACCACGAGACCAACCTTCCTTTTGTGCGTAACAGTCTCCACTAGGGATGAACAGGTGGTGTGCAATGAGAACGGCGGGGGGAAAGGCTAGGTTAAGGCCGTGTCTACACGATGAAGACTCCGGCAGCATTGCTATACTGGTGTACCACCGGCATGTAAACACGGCCTCTGCCCCGGCAGGGGTTTTTCCATAAGCGTAGGAACGCCACCTCCCCGCATGACGTTAGCTATGGGGATGGATGTGTTCTTTCATCAGCACAGCTACGTCTGCACTGGCGGGCAGCTCGGCACAGCCGGGCCGGTCAGGGCTGTGGGTTTTTCACACCAATGTAGCCGAGTCGGCCTGACTTCTAATAGCAACCAAACCTAAGTGTCGTCCTCCCCGCGCTGCGTGTACTGGGCAACATTTACAACGGCGTCAAGGAACCGTCTTGGCTAGAAAATTGTCTGAGCCTAAATCCCTCACTTCCCTGCCCTCCAGAGAGACCAGCGCTGGGAAAACCTCAGCGGACGATAGTTCGGCTGCGGGTGTCAACGGGACAAGGGAAGTTTCAGCACCATTCGAGGAAAGGCGACTGAGCCATGGGTCAGGCCTTGGGGCAGGTGGGGGGCTTTAGGGAGAATGGGGCAGGGGAGAATCTCACGGGTCTGCACGTACATCCACTTCCATGTGTGTTTGGGTAGCGAGCAGGACCCAGTCAGCATCTGACTGGTTCGAGCAGGGTTACTCAGCCATCTTCCAGTGCAAACAGATCAGCTCTCAGCCGTAAACCGTCCATAGCAAAACACAGAGGTACCCGAGGCTGCTGCCCCATCCTGTTTGGTGCCGCTCGTTGGCGGAAATCAAGAGCTCTCCAGACAGGCTGGCAATGGAGTTTGATCCAGTGTCTTAACTCTCAGAGCAACTCCCCGTTCGCTACTCTGTACAAAGCAGTCCCTGCTCGACTGGCACCTAACCACCGCCCGGCCCCACGGGGTGGGCAGCGCCGAGATCTGTGCTGACTGCTGAGGGCTGGCATATGGGCTGGACAGGGGAGCGACAGAGGCAGGGGCCTCGAAAAAGCTGCAGTCTTAGGAAGCGACTAGTGAGTCTCCTCTCACTTAGACAGGAGTTACACCAGGGGAGCCCTAGGCGCTTCACTATCAAATTCTGATCCACACCAGAATCAGGCCCCATATGCGCCGCGTGTCCCTGTCACTTCTCTTTGCCTTTGCCTGAGCGCAGCCTTCACCCCAGCTGAGCTGCGGGGAAGCTACACCCCACTGCTTGGAGCTGCCAGGCCAGACAAGCTTCCCCACAGGCCGCAGCACCAGTCCCCATCCAGGGAGAATTCCCTTGGCTCGGTGAACACCACAGCGGTTTCTCAGCAGTGCAGGTCAGCCAGCCTCTCCGGGGAGGTTTAAAGGCGACGCTCTGCTTGGCAGACCAAGGAAGCAAGAAGCTACCAAGGGTGAAGGGGAGTTTTCCCAGGGGAAGCCATTGAGTGTCACAGGCTGGAGGGGGTGGTTACCCCAGGTGTGGATGGGGGTGCAGGATGGGGGGGCAGGTTTCCTGGAAGGCTGGGTTCATTTTGCCAACACCCATTAATGAAAGGAGGTAGGATGGTTCGATCCCTGGGAAGATACTGGAACAAATGATTGAGCAATCGATCAGTCAGTACCTGGAGGATAAGAGGGTTAGCAGGAAGAACCAGCGTGGATTTGTCAAGAATAAGTCATGCCAAACCAACCTCATTTCTTCCTTTGACAGGGATACGGGCCAGGGGGCTGAGGGCGGGGGGTGGAGGGGGTGTAGACATGATATAGCTTGATTTCAGTAGGGCTTTTGACACAGTCCAAGTGACATTCTCATAAACTAGGGAACTGTGGTCTAATGAAAGTACGGTACGATGGTTGCATAACTGCCTGAAAGACCAAACGCCGAGTAGCTATCAATGGTTTGCTGTCAAACTGGGAGGATGTATCTAGTGGTGTCACCCAGGGATCAGTCCTGGGTCTGGTCCTATTCAATATCTTCATTAATGACTTGGACAACGGAGTGGAGCGTGTGCTTGCCGATGACACCAAGTAACATTTGCCGATGACACCAAGCGGGGAGGGGTTGCTAGCACCGTGGAGGCGGGTTTAGACATCAAAATGACCATGACAAATTAGAGAATTGGTCTGAATTCAGCAATGAAGACCAGTGCAATGTACTTTAATTGCACTTGACAAAGCCCTGGCTGGGATGATTTAGCTGGGAATTGGTCCTGCTTTGAGCAGGGGGTTGGACTAGATGACCTCTTGAGGTCCCTTCCAACTCTGATATTCTATGATTCTATGAATTGGGAAGGACAAAATCAAATGCACAGCTACAAAACGGGGAATGGCTGGCTAGGCGGTCGTACGGCTGAAAGGGAGCTGGGGGTTACAGTGGATCACAAATTGAATATGAATCAACCATGTGATGCAGTTGCAAAAAAGGCTACTATCATTCTGGGGTGTACTGACAAAAGTTGTATGTAAGAGAAGGGAGGAAAGTGTCCTGTTCTACTTGGCACCGGTTCTGGTGCCCCACTGTAGGAAAGATGTGGACACATTGGAGAGAGTCCAGAGGAGAGCAACAAAAATGATCAAAGGTTTAGAAAACTTGACCTGTGAGGAAAGATTAAAAACCACTGGGCACATTTAGTCATGAGAAAAGAAGACTGAGGACCTGAAAACAGTTTTCAAATGTGTTCAGGGCTGTTGCAAAGAGGACAGCGAACAATTGCTCTCTATGTCTGCTGAAGGCAGGACAAGAAGCACTGGGCTTAATCTGCAGCCAGAAAGAATTAGGAAAAAACTTTCTAGCTATAAGAATAGTTACGCTCTG